ATATATATATATATATATATATATATATATATATATATATATATATACGCACACACACACACACATTTTGTGTTTGCCTGTGGAGGGGAAGGCTGGATGAGTAATGACTTCATAAACGTGAAGAGACGAATAAACACGGACTAAACACGATAACACAGGCTGAGCATAACCCCGTATCTTATCAATGGTTATAAATATCAATGGCAATGGATTAACTCACTCCTGATGAAGGTTAGAGAACCTAAATTAACATATGTTCTCTTCTTAGACGTGCATTCGGATGCCATTATTGATCTTAGTAATTATGAGTTAACCTCCCACACCTACCTATTCCTAATCTTGAACCCACACAGTTGCCTCACCTTTCGCTATGGATCTTTACTCTTCAGGGGACGCCTCGTGTTCCTCACCAGCCGACACGATGCTGTGTACTGAACTAAAGATAATACTTATCATAAGTATGCCGTATGCACACGCGCACGCACTCATTTTTCAGCAAAGAAAGAAACAAAAAAAAGCAGACATTTAGGGCAGCCCAAATACTGATGAAGCCTCTTAACACAAATGCAGACATATGTAATTTTTTTATTTATTCATTAACCCTCACCGCCAGCAGCGCCGTCCATCGGCTCACCACCAATTACTACAGCTTCGTCTCTTAATCCACGCTCTGCGGGATGGTACCCCATTCCTGCTAAGCGGAGCATCATTTACATTAACGAGCTCGGGTGACGTTATTCGTTAGGAGCGCGTCCCGGGCGTGGAGGTGGAGAAGTTTGAGTCTGGGCGAGGCCAAGGTGAGGCAGCACGTGTCCTTTCTGGCGCGAAGCACGCACGGCCCCACCCTTGGCTGCCCCGTTGAATGGACTAAAGGGCCCAAGGTCTATATAAGTACTCATATAGACCTTGGGCTGCCTCTTCCTCCTCTTCACGCGAGACTCGCGGCCTCGCTCATGCATTGGCCGCTCTGTCTTCTCTTCTACTATCCCTGGAACTTTGGGGTTGTTAGGGGAATCAACACCACGTGGTCCAGTCCTTCACTCTCGTGATCCCCCTTCCTCCTCCTCCCCGTCTGGTGGAAAACATACGTTTTACTTATTTATGGAAGGAAGGTTCAAACCGTCATGTTTGCAAACTTCCTCTCTGCACCAAAGACCACCAAGAACGACTTCCCCCCCTCCCCCCCTTCGTCCATCTTCCTCTGCCACTGGAGCGGACTCAACAGTAAGAGTGTGGCCTCTACGAGTTTTGGAGATAGCATCTCTTTTCAGTTCATTTGAACGCCGCAATAACATCCGCAGTCAAGGGAGTGTTCAGCAGATTTCACCCTCGACGACCTCTTGACATTCGCCTAGCAGAGGATGCCTTATGTGGTATAGCAGCAATGGCATCTCGATTAACTGTTTTCCTTATGGAAGAGGCTATCATACGTCGACAAACTCTTCGGAAAGAAGCCTGTGAGACTATGTTGTCTTTTGCTTCGATTTTGCTGCCGGCAGATCCTTTCCACCCTTTACCCTGTGGCTCTGACGTGCAATTGTAGAGTACCACGCCTCTGTAGGTCTCTCTACCATCCTAACTTTTAAGTGCCAATCCCGGCCACACCGGACACGAGCCAATGGGGCCACAGACGCAAGAATCCTTTTTCTATTCTCATCGTACTGGTCCTTCGACAACCATTGTTTCTCATGCTCATCGACGTCCAGTCCCTACATCTACAAGCCTGCTAACGCCCTAGCCATGGCAGAAAGAGTAGGAGTCCTCAGAGGCTCTTTCAGGCCCGCCGAGACAGAAAATGATTATTCTAATCCTGGTCAACTGTTCGGGTGGTCACGCGTCGAGGACTGTGATGATCATGAGTGGGCAATGCGGCTCCTCCCCTCTGCCGTCCCCATGGCAGACCTTCGCCCTCTCATTCCCTGGCAGTTCGAGTGCAAGATCTACTTAATCAGGTCATAGAGCAAGCACATGTCAAGTGTGTTCGAGATCCCCAAACGGGACTACTGGATCTTAGTATTCAGACCTTCAAATTTCGGGTCAGTGGCTCAGGTACGCTTGTTCCCGTCAAAGGGCTGTGCATTAGCGTCCGTCGACCTGAAAGCCGTGTGTTGGCACGTACCCATCCACACACGATTACTGCATCACTTTTAAAAACCGATTTGATTTGGGCATATAAAACAGTGTTAGGGGTTGTTTTCACAATTTCTTTATTTTGGATTTTTTCGCATCTTCATTGACGCATTTTATTATCAACAGTGCGTGTGTGTGTGTGTGTGTGTGATATAGCACGCGCGCGCTATATCACTGAGGTCAATAAAAATACACATTATATGATTATTCTTTTTTTTAATACCAAAGTTGAATTCAAGACCATATCTTACAAGCAATTTTGTTATTAAATTCATATATGTATTTGAGAACTCACTAGGAGCTCCATAACAAAAAGGATGAAATACCCATGTATTTTGGCTAAAAAACAGTTTAATTCTTATTTATGGAAGAACTTGCCTACTTTCTGTGAATTGACTACAACACTATTTAAGGTAAAACCAGAAATTCTTCTTTTGTGCATATTTATAGGAATACAATTTAAATGTATTTAAACCATTATGATTTTAGAGCGAGAATCAAAATCCTTATTAAAATACTAAAAATATCTGGAATAACTGTACTTGGAAAGCAAACTTTTCATTATATGGTAAGTACATCAGAATGAAAAAAGTTGTTTGTAGTTGTGTGTGTATATATATATATATATATATATATATATATATATATATATATATATATATATATATATATATATATATATGAGTGTTTTAAGTACATAAGAATGAGAAAAGTAACTCGTGGATAAATTTGTCTATATTGGATGGAAAAATTGCTTCATTTATTGTTCTCTTTTTTTAGGTGTTTCTTATTATAACATTTTTTTTTTAAAGCCGAGGTCACAATGACCCTTCACAGCAGCTGGTCCCCTGATAAATCCCACCTTCTAGTCCCGTGACACCGAACTGCTGTTCACACTACCAGTCGGACGCTTCTTGTCTCGCAATGTGTAAACATGGCAATTAACGGGTTATATGTCAGCATTATTTTATTGCACTTACAAAGAGCGAGGAGCAAACAACCAACTGATTCTGGGCAAGACAGTTATCTAACAGGAAAGACCAAACTATGTATAATAATGCAGATATTCCTGTTGTAGATGTGTGTTAATATCAGCTATCTTCATCCTTTACAGCACCCTGCCCTTGTAGTTGTTATGGTTTGTATTCCATAATTCCTCATTGATCTTACGATTGTTAATGGGGAATAATATACTTAAGAAGGAAGATCCATGCTTGAACTTTGTGCAGAATGAGTTCCATACAAGATGTTCATAATAGAATATAAATATTTTGATAACTATTCATATTTTCAGCCAAAATTAATTTTAAACAGCTTGTATAACTGTAAATTAAAATGCCATTTAAGTAATTAATTAAGTAACTGATTATTATTTCATAGTTTTTGTTTTGATTAGCAGGATCAAGAAATACGGCGGTCCTTTCCTTGTTCCTAGGTATGGAGGGGATTACCCAAGGTGGACTGCTGGGGCAGGGCCCTTCTTTAACAAGGAAGGGTGAGGCAACGGCTTGACTGGACACCTAACAGAAGTGAAGGTGAAAGCGAGTAGTCTGATACGAGTTGTTATTGAAAAGAATTGAAATATAAATTTGCTTTCAGAAAATTATTTCTCTACACTAATCTTTATTGAATGCTTAAAGTGCAACAAACAAATTAACATTAATTAGGAATGGAGATAGTGTCAAAAAAGTAAAGAATGATATTCAAATAGAGAGAAATTGATACATCATAATCATTAAGTAAGCATGGGGAAAAATATACTACTCTTCCTTCTACCTGGCTTTATGGAAAGTTTAGGTTTATTGTAATTGCCAAAGCTAGAATTTCATTTATGACTGAAGCAAAGTTGGATAGAACAGGGATCTGAGGCAGTCATAAAGTAAAAATTTCCAAAATAAAGATAAAATCCATATGTCAAGACCATGACAAAGTGGGGGCTATGTAACTCACCAAAGACAATTTGGATTTGGGTTTAGATATTAACACCACTTATTTACCTTGCACCAAAACAATCTCAGTACCTTTGCTAGCCTGTGAATGTGCTCCCCATTAGAATTTTCTGGAGGGTTTCCTATATTTCTTTTTCTTTTTTCTTTTGAAGGGAAAGTAAATGCACTGTAATCAAAAATATAAAAATATCACACACACACACACACACACACACACACTGTAATAGCTCACATTACCACAGGCATCCCAATGGACAATGTGTTTCTCACGTTAACCACACATAATTACTCACATGCCCTCTGCTCCACCTCACGTGTCACCCTTATCTACTCTACATGGTTTTCCACTCTCGGGCCTGGTCCCTGTAGGCTTATACGCTCACCCTTTCCCCCTCCTACTATTGCCAATACTTATACTATACCACATATCCTTATACATACCCTATACAAGTACATCAGCCACACGTACCCCACGCCTAAACATTCACCCGGAATGCGGCAGCTCACACCTTCCGCCTATGACGTCTCACTCTGTTTACACTGTCACATCCTCTCCCCTTCCGCCTCTCCCACCTCTGACACGATATGGCACCCTATCCACATTCCGCAAAGACCATGTATAAAGATGGGTCGCCTGCGAGCGACAGGCAGACAGCCACTACCCCACTGTACATGCTGAACCTCTGTCCAACCTCTGTACCAGCCTCCTGAAATAAACGTCAAGCAGAAGGCCAGAAGTCTCGCAGCAGACTTCATCAGGACGTGACAAACGTCAACTCGGCACATTACAGTGGTGGGAACCGGTGGGATCCGTCCCACCAAACCCCTACAGACCAAGTCCCTGCCTCCGAAAACTAAAGCAAACCAACAACCACAGGCAAGCACCTAAGCAAGAACTCGAAGACGATTCAAGCACAACCTGCAGACACAAGCAGAAGCAATCACGAGGCAAGACAATTCAAGCAAAACCTGCAGACACAAGCAGAAGCAAATACGAGGCAAGCAACAAACCTTCTGTGCCGAGTCACCAGCATTTAGTGAACACCCCACGCATACCAACGTTAAGCAACGGTAATTGGCGCACATCGCCCTACGCGGGATTTACTGGCCTAGCCGTGCCCACCCGAGAGCCGAAGGCTGGGATTCCAGTGAAGTGGCACCGACGAAGGAACTCCTGCCCTGCTGACGGATTATCGACGCCCACACCCCTCGGACCCCCCGCTGACGAACACCGAGCAGCCTTCAAAACCAAGACTCAAGGTTAGTCAGAGTTTGTTTTAGGCCGCAATATTTTATTTTCTTCTTTCTCATTACTTAGGTATTTTTGTTAGTGCTCGAGTGTACAGTGAAACCAATTACCTTGTGATTCCCATAGTGACCCACCGAACAGAAAACGGAAAACACCCTCCCCGTCCCCGCGTTCCCTCAGTTACCCCGCCTCATAGAAAACGAGCTCACCCGCTCACTCTTCACCCCTCTCTCTCCTTCTCCCTGTGTTTTACCTCAATTATCCCGCTCAACAGAAAACGAGCCTCCCTCTCTCCTCACTCACCCGTGCGGCTCGCCGCTGATGATTTATACCCCCTGTAACGCTTAGTCTCATGTCCAGACCAGTTGTAGTGCAATCAGACCGACAATTACGTCCCCGTGACCAAGGTGACGCACATATTCTCGGAATCCCTGACGAAAACAAAAGACCAACAGTAGCCGTCCAACCTCCCCCCCAGACAACAGACAACCAAACAAACCCCACCGACGCTACACCACCTTCCTCTCGACCCTCTTCCACACTGCCCCATCCTCCTCCACTTTAACTGACCAGCTCCCCAAGCCATCCACCATGTATTCCCTCCTTATGGAACCTATCATAAAGTTTACGGGCTATAATTACCCTCCCGAGCAACTGCTCCTAGAAACGGAGAACTATATCGCCAGCCTAGATCCACACATCCAGCGTAGGTCAGACGAATTTTCCAGGTGATGCCTCCAACACGTAACCCAACGCCTCGACCTGACTAATCCTGCACTCAGCGTAATGTTGTCAGGCACCAACAAGGACGCACCTGGCGGGTGGCATGATTTTAAGGAACAGCTCGGCCAGTGTTTGTTGCCAACTAAGGGAGAGGCGAGCGTTGAGCTAGTGAGAATTTTCAAGATGAGACTCGCATCATTCTCCCGAGGTGACATCACAGAGTTTTATGTCAAGGTGAAGCAAGGAATTACAGATTTTCTTGAACTTCTCCACCGCGACGAGTATATGAAGACAACGCACAAGCACCTTCAGATCATCTTGCCATGGATAAGGATTCTCTTAACCGAGGGGATTCTCTTCGACTGCTTGCCAGCGAAGCTTTGTGCCAACGTGCATATCACATACAAGAGACCAGAGTCCCCTGGGCTCCTACCCACGACCCTAGCCCAGGCTTGCAGCATGGTGACCGGCTCCGATACACCCATCCCTGCCGTCATCGCAAACACTGGTAACGTGTCATTCTCCATGACACCCAACCCACGACGCGATATGTCCCCTGCAACCCGTCACACACGCCGGGAGTTCCGCTCCCCAGACGGACGTGACAGCAGACCAGAACACAGGCGGCCATCACGAAACCCCAGCTGAACCACCTCCTGGCCCCCTTATGGTCACTCCACACGCTCCCCCGCACGTTGTCCTGCCCGCCCACAACCTCGCCAGCACTATGACTCACGCGACCTTCCGGACGCATGGACCCCACCCAAGGACGCGTGCTTCTGGTGCCTTCGCGGCGGCCACAGGACCAGAGAATGCCGTTTCCTGATGTTCTGGCCCTTCCACCGGTCCCAGGGACATAGCTGGAAGGATTGCCGCTCATTCCCCGACCACGTGCGTCGAACCAGGGCACTAGGACTAGCGTACGAGTCCACATCACATCGTTTTTTAGACACTCGCCCTGCCCCGAGGTCAGAAACGCAAGGACGGGGGTATATGTAACGTCCCCACGGCAGCCCGACGATACCTCCCCCTGTGGTGCTACCCTCCTGCCCATCCGAGTCGAGTCGCACGAGCTCCTAGCCTTCCTCGACTCCGGAAGCGCCGTCAGCATCATCCCAGCGTCGTCCCTAAGCAAATGTAATACGCCCTCCACCTGCACACCCACAACGTATATCGTCCACGGTGCCAGTGGTTCTTGCCTTGACGTCATTGGCGAGGTCTCCCTCACCATTCATCTGTCCGGCATGACGACATCGCACCCATTCATGGTCATAAACGGCCCAGCCGTCCCGGGGGATATTCTCCTGGGCTACGACTTCATGGCCAGGACAGGCCTCCACCCAATTCCTCGCGAGAACATAGCTGTTCACAACAATCGCGTCTACGCCCTCACCCCCTCTGGACGAGTATGGCGCAGATCGCACTGCCACTCGCTTACAAGTAGGGTCGCGACCCCCTCAGCTCCAGCCAGCAACAAGGTCACTACCGGTTCCCTGGACATGAACGCCACCACCGCTACTCCTTCAAGCTCCACACGTCAACCACAGGTCACACCCACACCAACAAGCAGGGTCACTACCGGTTCCCCATACGTAAGCGCCACCAATGCTGCTCCATCAAGCTCCACGTGTCAGCCACAGGTCACACCCACACCAACAAGCAAGAGCCCTCCTCAATCACCAGCCGCCTCGAGGCCCACATGGACCCCTGTGTCTGACTTCCCCTTGTCAGGTCAGTGAAACAACGGTGCTCCCGCCATTTACGGATTGCATAATGCCTGTCACCGTACCACCCACGTCCGGCACTGTTCTAGTACTACCTGAGGGAATACGCGTGCACGAGTTGCTCACCCTGCCCGCCGTGTACGACGCACTGGACAGACAGTTCTCCCTGCGCCTCATAAACACACAAGACTCCCCAGTCCACCTCGAACAAGCAACATGGGTATTCGACTGCGAGATCACGCACCTTCCGATTATGATAGTGGACGACACAGGCCCCAACCTCCACACCTTCGTCTCACCCAGCACTGAGCCAAGGCCACCCGCCGACACAGCCTCCAGAGCGACACAGGGACACGGCATCACGACTGTCGACTTCGCAGAGGGAACTGCAATACTCGATGGACTTTTCAAGGAATTCCCGCTAATCCTGCCCTCCGCGGAATGCCCCATCGGTCGTACGACCATACTCGAGCACACCATCCACTTGCAACAAGACGCAAAGCCCGTCTACATACCAGCATACCGCGTCCCACATAGCCGACAGTAGGCTTTCAGGGACTAGATTGACAAACTCTTGGAGGACGACCACATCGAGCTGAGCACCTCACCCTGGAGAGCACCCATGATCCTGGTGCCGAAGAAAGACGGATCACTACGCCCTGTGATTTACTACCGCAAGCTCAATAGTTTAACCATCCCTAACAGATTCCCCATCCCATCGTTACGCTCACTGCTACAGGACGTGGGCAAAGATCACGCAGTATTCTCGACCCTGGACCTGCAGTCAGGATTCTTCCAGGTACAAATGGACACAGGACTCGCATCCACTTACAGCCTTCTCCACCCCACAAGGCCATTTCCAATTCAAGTCAATGCCTTTCAGTCTCAGAAATTCACCCATCACCTTCTCCCGTCTTATGTCCATCATTATGGTAGGCTTGATAGGGAATACCATGTTCCTTTATCTCGACGACCTCCTCGCCGTGTGTAAGGACACACAGGAACACGAGTCTAAGCTGCGCAAGATTTTCCAGCGACTCACGGACGCAGGCCTGACGATAAACCCTAAGAAGTGCACGTTCTTTCGAAAGAAGATTGATTACCTGGGTCATACGGTATCTCCCCAAACTCAGCTATGGTGAGAGACATACTTTCCTTCCCGACGCCGAGGGAGGTGAAGCACGTTGTCATTTTTGGGCTTGGCGGGCTTTTACCGCCCCTTCATCAAGGGATTCGCCAGGATTGCAGACCCCCTCTCACGGCTACTGACCAAGGATGCCTCCTTCACCTGGTCAGACGAACATCAGCAAGCGTTCGATATGCTAAAGTCCCTCCTGACGCGCTAAAGTCCCTCCTGACATCAAGCTCCTGACTGACCACCGACCACTCTCCGATTCGAAGTCTCCGAATGGGCGCCAAGCACGCTGGATCGACACATTACTGGAGTTCAATCCAGTCATTCTTTATACCCTGGGTGCCTTGAATAAGGTCGCGGATTCACTGTCTCACATACCTACCCTGCACCTGGACGTACTGGATAAAGAGGACGTTAAGTCTCGTCAGCACCAGGACCCCACCTACGTCAAGTTAATTGACATACTAGAGGCAGACCCATCCGCACCACTACCCAGGCGACCCCACGTCCCAACCAGTGATCTGTATCTGGAGGATGACCTCTTCCGGCGGTCGTCACCACACGGACGACGAGGTACAAAACAGAGACATACGTACAAGCAGCTTGTCATCCCCGAAGACCTCGTCCCGACGATTCTGAGACTACTCCACGAAGCACCCACAGCATCCCACGCAGGCGCCGACAAGGCCATCAAGTTCGCCAGGGAAAGATATTTTTTCGCGCGAATGGCATCTAGGATCACGGAACATTTCAGGAGGTACCAGGTTTGCCCCCTCCACTAAGGATCTGCAGCAGCACACGTGCCTGCACTAACGTACGACATCCCCGACCGCCCATTCCAGCGCGTGAGCGTCGACATCCTGTCAGGATTCTCCGCATCTGCCTCTGGATGCAGGTACCCCCTAGTCTTCATCGACGCCTTCTCCAGGTTCTAAGAGGTAGTCCCCATACCAGACAAGTCCGCGGCCACCGTCGCACGTGCATTTCTGGAACATATTATATGCAGGCATAACACCCCAGACGAGTTCGTGAGTGAAAACGGGACAGAGTTTAACAACTCTGTCCTGAAGTCGCTCTGCGATATCCTTAACATTACGAAGGTTAATGTAATACCTTACAGGCCTCAGACAAACGGACTAACGGAGAGACTGAATAGGACGATCCTCGGCATGTTACGTACATCCTTGGCCTCCTCGGGGTCAGAGTGGGACCTGTGGATACCCATGGTACAGATGGCCATCAACAACACATTTCACAGCACCCTAGGCGATACCCCCACTTCGTCGTCTATGGCGAGGATAGGAGATTACCCTACGAATTACTGGACCAAAGTCCCCGGCCCTCATACACCGATGACTACGTCAGCAGAGCCATTAGAAAAAAGCAGGATATACAGGATCGCAAGGAGACACTTACAGTTCGAGAGAGACAGGATAATCCGACAACAACACAAGCTATCTCGCCGTAAGGACGTCACAGCAGGAGTCCTCGTGTTCCATTTGGCATCCGAGCGATCAGCCCCCATACCCAAGTTATCCCATAGATTCGATGGCCCCTACAGAGTCCTTCAGGTGAGGCACAACAAGGCCCTATGCAGGAGCCTGCTAACGTGCTCGCAGTCCTGGTTTCACTTCGATACCCTCAAGCTCGCAAGCAAGCATTACGAGGACGAGTTTTTTTCGGATCAACCCTCGTGACCGTGACATATCTCTCTCCACAGATGAGGCATCTCCTGCTCTTCCTGCCTCTCCTCCGCCTGTCCGCCGCATCACTGCCCTATAATTATCTTCCCCGCCCCGGATTACCTTCCCCGCCCCGGAGCGATACTTGAGGACATCAGCACCGTCTCCTTCATCAGCAGTTATATGAGATCGCAATTAATCTCGACGTCCTAAATCTCGTCACTCCTTTCCATCCTATCCCTATCCCAGACTGACGATACCTTTTAAAGCCCGGCTTCCTCGTCCACGCCCCAGACGCCAGCGACGAGGACTCTTTAACTTCATGGGTGACATAACATCATATCTATTCGGGATTGCCACGCATGACGAGCTCGAGGCACGCTTCGGCGACTACGAGTGCACATTGAGCTCTGTCACTGGCAAGGTCGAGGGCACATTCGAGGCGCTTCACGCCATCTCGGACATGGTAAACGCATTAAACAACGTCACTCGTCGAATCTATCCATCTACACGGAGAATAACTTACAGCTCATTGTCCGCGAGCAGCATTTTACTCTCCTCGCACACATCTCCCTTTACCAGTCTCGTGTGCGTCTATTTGTTGACCACCTGAACACCCTCGCTCATGAACTCATATTTGCAGTACATGGTTCCGTCATGCCTTCCCTCATACCTCCGGATGCCTTAGAGTCCTTTATCCAACGTATCTCCGCTGAGACGCGGTTTACCCCACTATTTTCTATGGCTAACGCCACCCTTCTCTACTCGTTACTCAATATTGGTCCCCCTATCCCCAGACACCTTCACCGCCTTCAAGGTCCATACCTTCCCGCTTCCTCTCAACGGCTCCTTTTACGGCCTTTCACATGACCATGATGTCCTTCGGTCGCTCAACCACACGTCGCTCTCTTTCATCTCCTCGGACGTCCTCTCCTCATGCTCTAGCGTCCTCTCCAGATTCCGTGCTTGCTTCGATATATTCCTGCCTGAACACTCCTACTTTCACTCATCCGGCCATACAGCTCTGCCCTCTGACGGCGACGTACAGTCTTCCTGCCTATTCAACCAGCTCAACGCTACTAGCCCGTTCCTCCTCATCCTCCCTGACCTTCACTTCCTTTACTTCTTCTCCGCCACCCACGTCAGCATCAGCTGTGGCGGTAGCCACGCCGACCGCGAGGTCAGCGCGGCATTCCTCCTCCCTCGATCTTGCCAGCTCAGTTCCAAGCTTATCTCCCTCCGTTCTTCCCATTCCTTCCACTTCGCTTATTCGCCAGCTACTCCCACACTCCCACCAATGTCCCTCGACCTCCCTGTCGCCAACACTTCACTCCCTCTAGCCAGTGTCAGGATGCTGCCCTCCTACCGTGATGACGTACCTGGCTCGCTCGCCTTTGGCCACTCACCCCATGTAACCTTCGGGTTCCATGTCCTTTCCACTGCCATCAGCCTTGCTATAGCCATTTGTGGCTTCCTGCTATACCGTCACCTTACTATCCGCCGTTTACGTCTCGGGTCATCCACCAGCTCCACACGTGACGATCCATCAAGTCTCCCACTTCCCCTATCGGTGGTCTGTTAGTTTTAGGTTATTTACCCCAACTCTTGTATTAAGCCCGTGGCCGTGTCTTTGGCCTCTATGTTTTTCTTTCCCGATGTATCCTGTAGGCTTAGCTCCCCGTTCTATGCTTGTTGTCACCGAGCAGGTACGCTGCATACCCGCCACATGGACGGTACGCACCGTCACCACCCGACCTTGTTGTTGCTTATTTGCCGCGCTGGCTACGTTACTCCGAGTTCAGCGCGCACTCACTGTACTCTCCTCCCTGTCGTACTGTAGTCCTTTTGTCATAGATATTGTTTGCTATGACATGTGCTCCATTATATCTAGCATGTTTTTTTGTGGCATTTTAGTTTATTTTACACTTTTGAAACTATTTATAGGGCTTATTATTTTCGTATATTATACATTGTATCCTAGTTAGCATAGTTTTCTGCGCCTTATTGCTTTCTCTGACTAGTGTATATGGCGGAGGACCGCCACGGTAGCGTGACAGAAATATGTAATAGCTCACGTTACCACAAGCATCCCTATGGCCATATATGGGTCTCTCACGTTAACCACACATAATTACTCGCGTGCCCTCTGCTCCACCTCACGTGTCACCCTTATCTACTCTACATGGTTTTCCACTCTC